ATTTTATTACTAAATCTTTCTTCGAGATTTAAGCTGAACCACATTTTTAGTCGATCTACACTTCAGCCATTAAAGTAAAATAAACCTATTAAAATAAACCTTGAACTAAATCGATTATTTTTTGAAAATAATAATATAGAGTTCATTTTTTTTTTTTTTTCATAAAGCATTTGATAAAAATTACCTTAGGATAATTTTTGGTTGAAACTCATCTCACCAACAAAATGAAATGATTTTAAAAGTATTTATATATATATATATATATATATATATATATATATATTTTAGATAGATAGATAATAAATGCAGGTATAAAAAATGGACACTGAGGTCATAACACAGCAACATCCTGTTTTTTTTTTTTTAAACGCTATTTTCATCATTTGACGATTGTGTTTTAATTGAATTTGTCGCCATTGGGAACACCACATCATCTTCACTTTTATATTCACATACGGTCTATCCCTGACATTGAATATTAAACCATAAATAAAAAATTTTATATTCAAACTATAACGTTTATCATATAGATTTTTACACGAAAGATAACTTATACGTATATATATATATATATATATATATATAAATATATTTTTTTATATCCTCTAACGTTATAGTTACATCAACTTAAATATACCCCTCAAAAATGAAATAAAAAAATATGTGAAAAATTATAAAATTTTTTTAATCCTTCTCATGTGGTCTGATGAACGAGGTAAAAATTTGTATTGGGGAAATAGGTATAATTAATGAACCCTTAAAAATTGTTTATTTTCTATGAAATTGAATTTATATATATATATATATATATATATATATATATATATAATAATTTTGAATTGAAAAAATTCTGCACAAAAAATTAGAAATAAAATGTTTTTGATATAGTTTTCTTAGAATCTACCTGCTTGTATTTTACAGTCAGAAGTTGAATCTGATTAATACCACAAAAATTGTATTTAATCTGTTTATATGTTTCAAATCTATTTTATTTTCAGTTATTACGAATGTGCTGTTGATCGCTCAACTGAACGTCTTTCTTTACTAAGGCTGAAAAAGATTTTTAAAGCATGCAAATTTTACTTGAAGCTCGTCAAATCCAACGTCCAAAATTTGAAATACCTTCATTTATCTTTTTGTAAATAATCTTTTCGTTGAAAAAAGGTTTTAACGTGGAACTTCTACTTTTTTCAATTTTTCCCTCCTGTGGAACTACCTTTCGCCTTCTTTCTTCCCTGAAAACTACAATCTTCAAAAGTTTAAATGTAACAACAATCGCTAATCTTCTATTTTCTTGAAGCCTGTTCCCTTTTTTGCTATTTACTCACCCCACCCCTATTTTCAATCTTCTCGTTCTCATTCATTTTCACATCCTGTAACCCCCCTCCGTTCTCGTCGCATTGTCGCCTTATTTTTCGTGTAATAATAATAAAAATATTGTTATATAGGAATAAATTGTCGCTGCCGACACTTGAGTTTGAACATAGATCGCTAGTAAACAAACACAGGCGATCCCATTATTGAATTAAGTAGACCACTTGACCATACAGGAAGTCGCGTGACGTCTAAATGATCACCATTTCTATTCTGTCCTCTATTACTATTCGGATCACCATTTCTACTCTATCCTCTATTACTTACGGATCTATATTCTCTTCTCTACACAATTCTCCATACGGATTACTTTTCGAGCGAGTATTATTGAGCAAGTACTATTAGCGCGTGTGATATTTCGAAGGCGTCTGGCACCAGTATTGTTCAACGGCGTTACTATAGTTGTATCTGCGATTACAAAGTCTCTACTACGACGAGCATTACGAAAGTGATAACGAGTGTTCTTTGGTATCGCGAAAGTGGCAATGTTTGTTCATTGACATCACAAAAAATTATATTTTGTTGAATGTTTTTTTCAATAGAAAATGAGATTCTAAGTCGAAATTTGTTCCTGGAAAAACTAGTTCCTGTACTGTAAATGAGGTTTGTATGTCACACTCATTAAGACAGCTTCCATTTGCGCTACTTACGTGAATTTCTAAACCAAGATGACAAGGCTCTTTATTTATCATCTTTTAAACCAATTACAACCGTCAGAAATTTTAATCCTTGAACCCATTGTTTCATTAACTTTCTTCACACATGAATTCGAGCGTCTGTCTATAAAAGCTAGAAAAATGAATTGTTTAATCAAGTGTCATGGCACCAGACTTCGAAAGCCTTACATGTTCTCTAGCGCAGATGAAACGCAGTAACCGATTTTCGTTCTAGCGATAATGGCACTCTTTTATTCGACAACAATAAAATTCCTTGGAATAAGTTATCAATTGGACTATGTTGTTTTCCATTTTTGGGTAAAAATTCAAAAACGTCGCAATGATATTTTGCATCAACTTTAAGCATCTAATTTCATATTTCATCTATATCTGTCCAAAGTTCATATCTTCCTGGTATTACTATTTTTTTTTGTTTAATTCATTCCAAGCAAGGCCATAACGCCACTGTCTTGGGTTAGGGAATTAGCCTGAAAAAGTGAACATTTGTTTCAGAGGATCCTTTCTTTGAATTTTAAAACCCTTAACAAATCTAAGAAGCCAAATGAAAAACAGGAAATAATAATTTAAAACACCGTTTTGTAATGAATAATAATAATAATCAGAAATTCTTGAATGAAAATATGGATGGATAATATTTTCTTAATAAAATAAATTCCACCCGTAAAATATATTCACTTACTTTCCGATAAACTAATTCAGAAAATCTTCTTCCAACATTCATTAGAATGATAAATTTGTGGATTATCGCAAAAAAAATGGTTCGGGAAAAAAAACCTGCAAATTGTTGAAGAGATTATTTCAATTTTTCTGAGATTTTGAAGATAAATGGAAAAGTTTCTGAAATTGAAAGAGATGTCACTCATATTCAAATTTATTTTATCAACTTTTTTCCCAGAAATTAAGATAAGACTGAAAATATTTTAAGAACAACGGAGATGTGGTCCTACAGAAGGATGCTAACATTATCTTGGACAAAGCTGTAATGAACAACGATGATTTTTTGGAGACGATACAAACAAGGAGAAGTCTTTACATTAACATCAGGATGATGCAGAAAAAGTTCCTGAGACACATAATGAGGAATTCATAGCTGAGAATCTTATACTCACGGGTCGAATTGAAGGAAAAGAGACAAGGAAAACAACACATGACATACCTAGCGTTCAAGATTAAATAAATGGATGACAGAACGTGGTCTGGGGGTCAAACAGAGGAAGGAACTTGTTTGAATTTGGAATAGACAGTGTACTAGTGAGCCAGCCAAAATGAACTGACTCATTTTTAGTTCACGAATAATAATTAACAGAAATCAAAATATTCAATGAACGGCCCACGGTTCCCGAATAAACACTGGTTCCTTTGATAACCTGGACGAGGGTCCGCCGAAAAGTGTTTCCAATTCAAAAAAATGACTGCCCCTGAACCCGTTTATACAATATTCAATTTAAATATTTTTGCCGAAGGGAGAAATTCTCATCCCAATTAATATTTAATTTGTGCGTGTGTAACCCTCGTGCCGGGGAGGCCAAATATCACTGCCAGCCTTTGATATCGAAGACTGAAAATTACGGAACAGCTGCTGGTGGTATTGGCGATATAGTCAGATTCAGTAAAATATCTGACTCGATTTATTAATCTTTAACGTTGTTTCAGTGAACAGATTACGTAATATGCTTTATTCTATATTCATAGACTATGGTGAATTTGAGGTGCCTCACTTGTTGAGAGATAAAATGTTTTAGAGGGAGGTGGAGAGCCATGATCGCCTAAGTCCTGAAAGGACACGGCACATAAAATAAAATCTTTTAGTTGGATGATTAAAAAGAATTGGAATGTCCCTCTGATCTATAGTTTCTCGTTTATAAGTCTTGTAATTTGATTTGAGTTTTTACTAATGTTCACACTGTGTAGGACCACTCAATATAGAGGGTAACTGAAGGCGGTTTTTGTGTGAGACTTCGGTAAATATAAGAGGCGCTGCTTGTGCGTATATGCGGGTAAGATAACGGTTAACGCTAGACTTGAAGGGGTTAAGACTGTAGCAGTTGGGAAAACATCTTTCTGGGACCCTGATCCACAAAGCAACAGTTCTTGGAAATAAAATGAGTCAAATTTACTTATAACTCTTTACTAGTGAAATGCAAAAGGAATGAGGGTGGTTAGCCTCTATATACGCGCCGTTGCAGGTCCTTAGTCTTTCTGTTCAGAAAAATTGGAACAAGGAATGTAAAAACATTTGGATATGTTCTAACAGGAAATAGCGATAAAGAATGAAGAACCCTTATAACATTTCGTCTGGGGAACAGGTTTATAAACTGAAAAAAAAATTCCCATCCACTTTCGCTTTTTGGACTAAATAAACTGAAGGCAGAGAGTTCAACCGATCAGCGGGTCAACTAGGGTCGCCCGACTTCAGACTGAACGGTATTTAGTCACCCCCACCCCCACGAGGGCATCATGTGGGCACAAGGCCGGTTTAACGTGGGATCTTCGAGCCCGTGGGCTCGGCCAAAATATGCCCTTTAAACCCGTATAAACGGGTTCAGTGTCGGTTTACCTCCCGAAAGAGACTCCGGAATTCGGCGTAGCCTCGTTCGGGTTCCTCCCCTGAAGGCAGAGAGTTCAACCGATCAGCCGGTCAGCCAGTCGCCCGACTTCAGACTGGACTCCTGCTTCCTCTTGAGGCGCAGTATTTATTACCTATGGTTTAGTCCATTATGTTATTATAGGTAACAGTAACCCTCTACCTCGAGTGGCATTTATATATTTATACAGGATGAACATCAATGTAAAAAAAAAAAAAATTTCCTTCGCATATTTTCTTCTTTGATTCATTCCTTCCTTTTCTCTTTTCTTCCTTTTGTTCTTCTGCTCAACATTCATTTTCAATAACCTTATAAATCTTCTTTATTTATATCTATATTTATCTTCCACTATATATATTTCCAGGTCTCTCTTACGTTTTTCCTTCATTTTTTCATTATTTTCCTTCCATCATTTTTAATCTTTTCCGTCTTTCTTTTCTATAAAAATCTTCCTTTTACTTACATTCCTTTCTTTACCGTTCCCAAAGGAACGTTTCATTCTTCCCCATTTCCTTCCCTAAAAACGTTTTCCTTCACTCATTCATTATTTTCCTTCCATCATTCTTTCTTTTTATTCCTTCTTTTTCTCCTACTCGAAAATCCTTTTCTACTTTTTTATTTTTCTTTTACCGTTTCCTTCCAACGTTTCATTCTTCCCCATTTCCTTCCCTCTCACGTTTTCCTTCACTCATTCATTATTTTCCTTCCATCATTCTTTCTTTTATTCCTTCTTTTCTCCTACTCGATCTTCCTTTCTACTTATATTTTTTCCAGCCGTTTCCTTCAACATTTCATTCTTCCCCATTTCCTTCCTCTGATGTTTTCCTTCAATAACATTCATTATTTTCCTTCCATCATTCTTTCTTTTATTCCTTCTTTTCTCCTACTCGATCTTCCTTTCTACTTATATTTTTTCTTCACCGTTTCCTTCCAACGTTTCATTCTTCCCCATTTCCTTCCCTCTCACGTTTTCCTTCACTCATTCATTATTTTACTTCTATCATTCTTTCTTTTATTCCTTCTTTTCTCCTTTTGTTGTTATTTTTTTCTTTTAATGTTACCTTCCCATTTACTCGCCGTTTCCTTCAAACATTTCATTTTTTCATAAAAAAAAAATTTTTTTTTTTCTCAAATTTTCCTTTCATTCATTTTATTTCCTTGTATTTTTCCAACTTTTCATTTTTTTTTTTTCAGATCTTTCCATTCCTTTTTCCCTTTTCTCCTTCAGTTTTTTTTTTCTTTTTGGACTTCTATTCTTCCCTCACACATTTTCTGTTTCTGCCTTCCAACGAAATTCATTTTGGCCATTCGACAATACATTTTCCTCATTTAATTCAGCCAGCCTGTTTATATGGAATCGGGTGGGTAGGGACCTGTGTAACGGAGGTTTCGGGGTCCCGGGTGTGGGCTACGTCGATGACACAGCATCCGACCATAGACTGGCGTCAGTACCATTTAGCCGACTCCTGGAAGTGA